TCTAGGAATGCTTTGGACTCCCTTTATCTCTTAGATTTCCTTTTTATATTTTTATTTTTTTATTTAAAAAAAAATTTTTTTTTCAACGTTTATTTATTTTTGGGACAGAGAGAGACAGAGCATGAACGGGGGAGGGGCAGAGAGAGAGGGAGACACAGAATCGGAAACAGGCTCCAGGCTCTGAGCCATCAGCCCAGAGCCCGACGCGGGGCTCGAACTCACGGACCGCGAGATCGTGACCTGGCTGAAGTCGGACGCCTAACCGACTGCGCCACCCAGGCGCCCCATAGATTTCCTTTTTTAAAAAAATTATTTGTTTTTATTTGTTTTAATAAGAAAAGCTAGAGTGTATTTCCACAGAGCTATGACTGGGGCTTCTGGGGCTTGGTACCACACAGCTAACCAGCTTGGAAGTTCCACTGATAATCCCTGACATTCACGTAAGGACCCCTGCCCTACCCAGATCCATATACTTTCTCACTCAAGCTATTGTTTCCTACAGATTTTCAGTAAGAAATCTGAGTTGAAATCTGCATTCTTTTCTAGAGATTAGTTAGTTTTCTCCTTTCTATATCAAATTTCTGACTGAATGTGAGAAGGATCAGCTTTTATTTTGAGCTCTGCTGGTTCATAATCTTACCCCATGTAAAGCAGTTATCTAGGAGAATGATAGTGTGCCCACCATGGCCTCAAGCATGACAAAGCCAATGCTATTCCAAAATAACAGGTGTGTCCCCCCCCCCCCCCCCCCGCCCCCCGCCCCCACCATGGCTCAGTCTGTGGAGGATGTGCAGGAGTAGCTTTCTGAAAATGGAATTAGATGTAGACAGTTGTTGAGCCTTCGTGGCTTGTGGCATTAAAGTCAATAAACTATTTTCTGGCGTCTTTTGTTAAAACTTTCGTTCAAAGCAATAATAGGTGAGATCTTGGCTATTTGTAGGTTGAAACTATATGTAGTGATTTTGGGTTACAAGAAAAATCCTTCACCTGATCCTAGCTAAGTCAGATGTAAAGGGTCTGTGACATGTATGAATCGCCTTTTTTTTTTTTTAAACCCAAAGCAACATAAAATCTGGCTTAACAGATGACTTATCTATTCAGCACATGAGCTGAACATGGCCCACAGGTGGTGTTTACATTTTTAAGTTTTTTTTTTTTGTGAGAGAGGGTGCAAGTGAGCAAGGGGCAGAGAGAGAGAGAGAGAGAGAGAGAGAGAGAAAGAGAGAGAGAAAGAGAGAATCCCAAGAGAGGCAGAGGGAGAGAGAGAAGCAGCACTCACTGGAAGCGGGCTCATGCTAACCGCAAGCAGGGCTTGAGTTCACCTGATGTGGGACTCAAACTCACAAATTGTGAGATCATGACCTGAACTGAAGTCAGATGCTTAATGACTGAGCTACCCAGGTGCCCCCATGTTTATGTTTTTTTAAAAGTATGTTTTGTTTTGTTTTTAAGTTTATTTGTTTATTTTGAGAGAGAACAAGTGGGGTAGGGGCAAAGAGAGAGGGGAGAGCGAGAATCCCAAGCAGGCTCCGCACCATCAGTACGGAGCCTGATGCGGGGGCTCGAACTCACAAACCGTGAGACCATGACCTAAGCTGAAATCGACTCAGACGCTTAACCGACTGAGCCACCCAGGCATTCCCCCATGTTTACATTTAAAAAAAAATCAGTTGCTGACCCTTAAACATTGAAAAGATTTCAATAAACATCCAGACTTCTGGCTTCTCTTGCAAAACAGAAGCTTTGACAACTCTAACACTGAATGTCAGCTGTCCTTCTTAGGAACTGCTCGAGGTCCAATTTCTTGTGCCCTCTTCCCTCATTTAACATTCTCTGCTCTGGAGCTTAAGTTCTGGAGAGACAAATGAACAAACAGGTGGGTAATAACTGATATGCACAACAATGAAGCAGGTGGAGAGAAAGAGGGAGTTGTTGGTGTTGGGTAAAGGGTGTCTAAGGGAGGCCTTTGATAGTAACATTTGCACACGTGAGGGAGTAAGGCACATCAACTTGTGGGGAAAGAGTGTTCTAGGCAGAGGGCACAGTAAGTGCGGAGGCCCTGAAGTGGTTTGAGTTGGGTAAGGAGGCCAGTGTGAAATGAACGTAGAGGGGAGAATGGGCGGAAATGGCATGGGAAGGGAGAGGGGTGTAGGATATAGATCATATAGGACCTTGTATACTGACTCTATGCTGACCGTTCGTGGAGCCTGGAGCCTGCTTCAGATTCTGTCTCTCCCAAAAATAAACATTAGAAAAATAATTTAAAAATAATGAAAGCTTGAGTATGACTTCATAAATGAACATATTTGCAAAGAACAGAGAAGAGGATATTTTATAGTAAGCTGCTAGCTAAGAGTGGCCACCCCCTCCCCCAAGTACATTTTATTTCCAAGTACATTTATTTTAGGGTTAGTAGCAATCAAAACAGATCAAGTGGCAAGTCTTTTTTGTATGGATAAGATGACTGTGTTCCTGCAGCCTGGACGCTGACTGCTGCGATGAAATTGGCTCTCTTGAGCATTTCTTCCAAGGACAGATTGGGGTAGTAAGCCAGGTAGAAGGCCAGAGCCCCCACAAAACTGTCACCAGCACCCTGTAATTAAAAGCATAGTTGTGGAGATAAGCATGTAGTCACCTGTTGCCCAAACTGTATTTTAACAATATTTAAGTACACTTTTTGATGGAGAAGATTTTTAGGTAAAAGGATAGTACAGAGGTTTCCATACGCCCCATATCCAGTTCTGTTGTTTGGTAACATCTAGTATTATGGTACATCTGTCATAATGAATGAAATGGTATTGATATTAGCTGAACTCCATACTTGATTTGGATTTCACTAGTTATGCTTAATGTCCTTTTTCTGTCCCAGGATCTCCTCCAGGGTACCCTATTACATTTAATTGTCATTTCCTTAGACTCTTGTAGGCTGTGACAGTTTCTTGGACAGTGTTTATTTCTGTTTTGAGTCTCTACTTTCTAGAATTGTTTCTAGTTTGTTTCTGTTTCGAGTTTCGAGTTTTGAGGACTGGTCAGATGTTTTGTAGAATATACCTCAGCTGGGACTGGTCTGTTTTTCTTACAGTTAGACTGTGGTTATGGTTTTTGGGAGGAAGACCACAAAGGTGAAGTATCATTCTCTCATCACATTGTATCAAGGGTATATACTGTCAATGTGACTTGCCTCTGATCATGTTAATCTCAATTACTTGGCTAAGCCAGTCTTTGCCAGGTTTCTCCACTGTAAAGTTACTTTCCTTCCTCTTTTCATACTGCACCCTTTGGAAGCAAGTCACTAAGTATAGTCCACATGTAAGGGGTAGGGTAGAGTGTTATTTGGAATGCTTCTCTGTGGGAATTTTGTCTTCTCCCCCCAATTCATTACATAATTATATCTGTATAAAAGACCCATGAACTCATGGGTCTTTTGAAAATTTTTAAAAATTTATTCTTTGGGCTATAATCTAGTACTGCATTACTTCTTTGCTCAAATTGTAAGGGACTCTTTCAGTTGGCTCCTGTGTCCCTTTAACATACCCCATTGTTTTGCCTTTTGGGTGCTTTACTTTCTGATAGTATAAGATGCTCCAGGCGCATCTTGTATATTCCCTGCTTTAGTTCTAGAATTAGCCATTTCTCCATTAAATGGACGCAGAAAAGTGGTGAGAGTTATGCAGATATTATTTTCAAACTAAATATAGGGACAAAACATTTTCTTTCCATTTTCTCTGAAGCTCCAAAGATCTGATTTGGTAAAGTACATTTACGGACCCACAGAAATAGAAAACACCAAAGAAAGTCTTGACTTCCACCTTCAGGCAGGGTAATACCTAGTCATGTGTTCATCTAACAAATGTATTTAAGATAACTTAAATATGATTATACAGTCTCGCTTGGAAAACCATTCTGAAATAGCTTTCAGGGTCATTTCCCAGTTTTTTCCCAGTTTGTTGTTCCTTAACACCCAAGAGTTTTCACGACAGATCTTGAGGCTATACTTCAGCCTTTGTAAAGAGCCTTGGCATGCAAGATTGTTCCAGATGCATATGCCCAGAACAGTGATGGACCCTAGTAAAGGGGTAAAATCCACTGTGGATTAAATGCTAAGTAGTGTGGCAGAATCCATAAATGCTATTGGATGCTAAGAAAGAGTTTGAAGAAAGCCTCCCTGAAGAAGGGAGTTCTTATAGATGACACAGATTTATAGAGAAAGAAGGCCTCAAGGAACAAAGACACAGAGGAGGAAGGAACAGAGTGAGCTCATGAGACAGTGAATGGCTTTAAGGAGAATGACATTTCCCCTTGTTTACATAGATAAAGCAGGCAGTATTCAACTTGCCAAGCAGTCATAGTAATGCAGGTGTGAATTCGACACTTCCCTTCCTCCCATAAATGTTTTCTGAGTGCCCAAAATGTGTCAGGGGCCATGCTAGATGCTTTGCAATTGTTTATGTCAGTCCTTCCTGACGGAAACAATGGAGAGAGATATGCTTTTTGCCTT